AAAAAAAAAAAAACTAGCGAAAGTTGGGGAGAGCAGTGAAAAGAAAGAAACGAAGTTTTGAACCAGTTTGAAGATACAGGAGCAGCAGCTGAATGAAAACATGCTCCCGATTTGCCTCAGTAATCAAACTTTCAAATGAGGTATTGGATCAAAGCGCAGAAGCAGCAGAAAGGTGCAGAGTTCAGACCTGAAAATCCCTTGGTTTCCTGATTTCCTCCCAAACTCCTTTTTTATTGTGCTATCCGAAAATAGATTTGAACGAACTAACGAATTCTTCTCGATCGTCGTAGAACTTGCCTTCCCAATAACACTTAAAATTTTCGCCAAACACCGCAGCTAGTAGTATCCACCAGACAACGTGCTGAAACATACCGCCTTCAGCAATCAGATTCTTCGACAGTGATAATGTTTTGGAAAATGCAGTTGTTATACCCTCGCATTTATGCAACATCCCTCACGGCGTCAGAATTATAGTCTCTATACAAAAATTTCTTGCTGGTTATGCATTTTTGCATATACGCAAATGCAAAAACACACATTGTGCTGCGACCCGTGGTGTACATGTGTGTACGTTCGTGTGTGTGTGTGTGTGTATATGTGTGTGTATTTATGTGAGTCTGTCTGAGTATTTCAACTCGGCAACCAAGCAAGCTCGGGTGTCGAAATTTTGCCATCGGGTTCCCCGGCTAAGTGTTATCGTAGGACCGTGGTATCAGCCTTCACACACATCTAGGCCCAGCGAATTAGCACATGAAGGTTGTGACGAAACAATCGCTAACTCGGGAACCAGAAAAAGCTATAAAGCTCAGATTTTGAGGGGATGCTCACAGCCCACATACAATTTAAAGATTTCAAATGCACTTAGCCGGAGTGTATTGTTCTTACGTATGGCCAGTGAAAATTTTTGGCTGGAAAACTATGAACTGGGGGACCAGAAAAGCCAGAAAACCGAAATTCTGAGAAAATGTCCCCTGCCCACGTACAATGCAAAGATTTCAAATTCAGCTTCCAGGTGGGCGTGTTTTCCACGTAGAGATCCACGGAAATTTTTTGCAGGAGAATTGCTAAAAGCTGAAAACTGAAATATTTACGGAATGTTCTCTGTTCAAATACTATGCAGTTGCACAATTAACTTTTTGAACTTCGAAGGCCAGTAGTTCACAAATTCTAGCTACTGGGATTTCAAGCGATCTTACTACAGTACGAAATGCTGTTAAAACGAATGATCGCACGGGCCCGCCTGATATTCATCGCCAATGATTTTATATCCCAATGAAAATCAGGAATGAGAAATTTTGATTAAGTTCATACATACATCACAAACAAGTACATACATACAAATACAAACATACACACCCAAATATATACACGCAGACATATCTACACATATATAAACACGGAAAGACGGACAAACATATATGCATACATACGTACCAATCCTAACATTAAATGCAATTAAAAGCCCTTATAGCGAAGACTGTTTGCCCCGGTTGCTCTCGTTTTCTTCAAACTTGTATTTTGTTGATGGAAATAAGCGGCTTTATGGAGGACGTCAACAAAATAATGGGCTCAGGAATGTTCTTGACTAATATTCTTCCGAACAAATCTTTGAGAGAATGGACTCTGTGGCCTTCCCGCCGGCTTGTCAACAATGCTGCCAACGCTAATGCTCACCAAAGTAGATTTAATTATCCTCGAGGCCAGCAAACCTTGCATTTATGCTTTACAGAGGTACACATACACGAGCAGCAGCAGCAGCAGCAGCAGCAAGCCAGTAAATTGGTCTCGTATAGCTTCAGTGGTCCAGCCAGCCGTCTCTTGGCCACTACATTCTCATACGTCAGCTAATTTGATCCTTTTTAAAAGCCATTCTTTCCCGAACACAGTCTCAACAAACTAAGTGCTTAACACTGACAGTTCTGCTCAAAACTTAGTAAATCGTGGGCGATGCGCGGGCCCGTACGATAATGCGTTTTTGCAATATTTCGTGCTGTTGATCGCTAGAAAACCCAGTAGCTAGAAATGTGTGAAATACCAGTCCTCGAATTTCGAGAATTTAGTTGTCTATGCTGTACTTGGACAAGGAACACTCCCCAGAAATTTCAGCCCCCCCAGCCTTCCTGGTTCCGGAGTTAACCATTTTCTCGCCAAAAAGTTTGACTGGGCGTATGTGAGAACCTCGCATAACTGGGGGCTGAATTTGGTAATTTACGTTGTGCATGGGCTGGGAAAATTCCCATAAAATTTCAGGCTCCCAGATTTCCCAGTTTCCGAGTTACCCATATTCCCGCCAGAAACCTTCACTGGGCCGTACGTGAGAACCATGCGTGCCCGGGGGCTGAATTCGATAAATTTAAGTTGCAGATGAACTAGGAACATCCCCTTAAAATTTCAGCCTCCCAGCTGCCTTGGATCTCAACTTAGCGATTTTCCCGCCAGGAATCCTCACGGGGTCGCAAGCAGGGACACAGCATACCTCGGGACTGAATTTGAAATCCTTGAGCTCTCTCGGGACAGGAGGCGTAAGCTCATAATTTTAGCTTTCTAGCTTTTCTGGCTCCTGAGTAAGAGGTTTTCCAGCCAAAATTTTCACGCGCTTATACACGGGGTCTGGGTGTGCATGAGGGTTGGTATCATGGTCTTGGGGTGACACTCGGCCCGGGAAACCACCCGCAAAATTCTAGCGCCGGAGCTTGCTTGGGTGCCGAGTTGAAATACCCGGGTAGACGCACACGCACACACACACGCACACACACACACACA